AACAGTATTTCTTACTTCTAGAAGATTCTTATTTCTAGGAGGATTTAAAAGAAACATTGAGTTAAGACAAACCCTATGCAAATGACAGTGATCAGTTAACCTATGCAACAGTGCCACATATATATATACATATATATATATATATATATATATAGTATGTGGCTTATATCACACTCATCAGTAGCACATAGGCCACTATATGACCGGTAACAGAGTGGAGAAAGATATACAGATTTATAGATTATTGGTAGATGGAAAAAATGATTAGAATTTGACAGTGGTCGGTCTAATACAATTGCATGCAGGGATTGAATTTTCAGGTTAGGAATGAACATTGTCTAGAAGAGCCTGCTCTCCATGGTAAGCAGCTTAAATAGCGTTTAAGCGTGGGTACGAGAAAAGATGTGTTTTGGGGAAAGAGGTAGAAGAAGCAGATAGCAGAGTCAATAATAGAACACAAATTGGTTAAAAATCATGACTCTCAGATAGTGCAAGTGTTACTAGAAAACCCTGGTGGGGTTCAGGCTGCCTGTCGCTGTATCCAATTCAACGGAGGCAGGGTTGAATCATATAAGGCATTTACTGAGAAGGCTGGCCAACCGAGAAGACAGGGAGCATATGACCATCCAAAACCTGTCTTAAGGAATGGCCCAAGGGATAGGGTTATATAGGGAAATGGGGTAAACTGAGGCTGGGAACGGAATGCAGCTATTGTGCAGCCCTGGAGGTCCACAGGCGTCAGCTATTGTTCTTGGTCATCTAGCAATGTCTGGGTAAGGTGACATCTTGACTCCTGGTTTGGGCCAGCCTGACCATGCCTGTTCAAGGATACATTGTCCACAGCTGTGTCACCTCCTTAATTGCTTTGTCCGCAGTCAAGGAGAGTGTATAGGCGTAAAGGCCTAGGAAAAAAAACTTAAGGAAAAAGAAACTTAAATTCCTGCTCACATAAGTATATGTGCTCTACAATTTTATAAGTAATATAAGTATATTTCAGATTAATTCAGGTGCTCAATCTTTGGACACCCTAAGTGTCCCTATCACAAGGTGTTTAAGTTTTAAGATTTACCCTAAATTCCTACCCACTTTGACTTCAGTATCACCAGTGTGCCTTAGCTTTCCTCCTGAGCACATTCCCAATTATATGTTCAACTCTAGACTAAGATAGTTACATTCAATTTACTCTTGACATCTTTTAGATGGAAATAGATATGGCATGTGAAGTAACCTAAGAACTATGTAAAGCTAATCCTCCTTCCCTTATTCCTTCAATGAAAGCACCATAAATGCTGATTTCTCACCCTGCATTTGCAAGCCTATCTTATCTTTGTTTCCATTCCTTCATCTTTTTCTCCAGTTTCATTTTATTAATGATGACCATGATCATGGTGATAGTGATGATCCTGATAAGGATATCATACATTTTATTGAGGATTTTTCACAGGCCAGGTGCTGTGCTAAGTATATCCCACGTGTTGTCTCAATTTAATCATGACAACAACCCAATAAGTTAGGAGCTATTACTAGTCCCATCTTATAAATAAAGAAATTTAGCCTCAGAGAGGCCAAATCTCTCAAACAAGGTTAATAACCAAATGGTGGGATTGAAATTCAATTCCTGGAACCTGAATTCTTGAATACTACTGAAATGAAAAAAGCTGTAAGTTTGGTTTCTAAAGCAGAACATATATGAGAACTTAGGCATTCCTAATCAAACATTAGTGGTGCTACTATGTACACAGTTTGATGTTTCTAAAGGGCTCAATCCATGAACTCTCGTCTTTTGTGTCCAACTTGTGGTTCGTCTTGATATAAAAATATGACTTGAGTCTATCTTTACAGCATTTTGCCTAATTATTTTGACTTGTAATACCCCTTACATTTTCATTTTCATTCTACTCATTTGATGTTTTCAAGCTTGATGACACAAAACTAGAAAAAAAGGTTTATTTTTGAAATTTTAGAAAAACTAAGTGATTATTTTTTCTGTAAGTAACCGAAGATATTTTAAAGAACAGTACAGTTAATACTGCAATATAAGCACACCAAGTGACCATCAAGTTATTTGGGATATTTATATCTGCTTTTTTTTTTTTTTAATCTTGTCTACATTTTTTTTAGGATTCCAGATCAAAGTGGAAAAAATGGTTGACCTTGCCCAGCTAATGGAAAATGAAGTATTCATGGCATTTGCCTCCTACACAACGATCGTTCTTTCAAAAATGATGCTTATGAGCACTGCAACTGCATTCTATAGAATGACAAGAAAGGTATGAAGTTTGAAGGAAATATTTTCTTACTTTTAAGAGTTGGAATTCTGAAAAGCAATTTTTTTGTATAGTCCAATGCCACATTGTTTAGTGCTGCCAATGAAGTATGTGATCATTGGTACAAATGGATTTGATATATTTATGGAACAAGTATTTTCCCCCAAAAGCTAGTAAATTTTTTTTTTCATTGTGGATTTTACCTTTTGTCATGCTGTTCCAGCATATGAGATTTCTGGAGTATCAAAGTTTTTGAGGAAGCTATCTGTGATTTTGAAGTTAATTTTGCCAACGAGAGATAATAAAATAGCCATTTTTCGGATAATTAACTGGTATTTTCATTCCTGTTACAGGTCAGGATACGCCGTTAGGGACAAAATTTAAGTTCTTATTCCCATGGCAGAGCTTCTTGTGGGACAAGGCATTTTGTATAGTTTGAATTTTTTATATTTCTGATTTCTTAAGTGAATAATATTATTACCCAGCATTATAAGAATGATTCAAACAAACAAACAAACAACTGGAGGCATGGGGAAGGTGGCAGAAAGCTTTGGAGCACATAGCCTGTTTTCAATCAAGGTGTATGACCCGGCGAGGGGAGCCGAGCAAATCGACCTTGACAGCATGAAATGATTGTCATTGGTGTGGTCCCTGTGCCTGTTCAGCAATTTCTTTTTCCTTACCATCTATTTCTTTACCATCTCTTTCTCTCTCAGTGCCTGTCCGTTTTGGCCTCTAGGGCCTTGCTTTTATCTAGAGGTCATAGTCCTTCCTAAGGCATTTCCTTGTGCTCCCTGTGCTTCCTTGAGGTGTGATTCCTTCCCCAAGGCTATTTGCATTTTAATGGGGCACATACCCACATGTTTAACTCTCTAATGGGACAAGGTGTTGGAGCAGCAAGCTATAAAATAGCTGCCTACCACCGGGTCCCCGCTGTCCTCCAGAAGCACAGTGGCTCCAAAGATAGCAGAAATGTACCCTGTCTTACAAGAAAAAGACAAAGGAATTCGGATTTGTAGAGTGCTTGTGATATGTGCCAGGGGTCAGGATGCTCTTTCTAAAAGTACCAGATCCCAGAATCGTTTCACATAATTGTCAGCATTATGTGAGTTCTTCATTAATGTCCTCACTTCATAGCTGAGGAACTGAAAGTCAGAGGAGTAAAGCTTATTCAAGGTTTCATATCAGTACAGGGTGAGTCTGAGATTCAAATTCATATTTGTTTAAACTCAAATCTCACATACTTTCCATTATAATACAGTTATTTACTTACTCAAAATATATTTATTGGCTATCTAGTATATGCCAGGTTTTTATTTAGGAACAGGATGGGCAGACCTGACCTCTAGAGCTGATGCCTTATCGCATGCCTGTCCATCAGTTCTCAACATCTTTATCTGGAATAAACACTCATATCACATTAAGAATAATATTAAAATATTTATGAGATTTCTGAGCTTATATTACAGTTAATTTTATACTTCATGTTTTTATTTATTAATTTACTATAAATTATAAAGCAATGGACCATACTTAAATATTTTTAAAATGCACATTTCAAGTTTCAAGGGATGGGGAAATCATCTCAGACAGAATAATAATTACAGAAAGGAAGACATGAACATATTCCCTGGGATGTGTACTTGGTACTTATAGGAGTGTAATCAACTTCTTATATTTCACTATATTATTCAACCCAAAGTTTTAGTTAATTCAGAAAAAGAAAAGAGGTACCCATATCCTAACAAAGTACAGAATACATTTCCTGCCCTTTGCCCTTCTAATATCTTTAGCAAGTAAACTTATGACTTTCAGGTGAGCAATCAGTTGGAAATGTTAATGCCCTTGAGAAGAAGGTACATGAACATCACTAGGAAAAATGCCAGTTCACCATAAAAACAGTCAAGATGACTTAGAATTGTGCCCTCTTTTCCATTTTGCTTCCTTTTCACTATCTTTATACATTGGCTTTTAATTTAAGTTCTTATTTATGCTTCTCTTTTCAAAAAATTTTTGCACTGTTCATAAAAATTCAGATTTAAACTATGGATGCTCTCTTCTCCCCCTGTGTTTGATCTACTGCTTCAAATTTTCTTTCCATAGGGCCATCCTGGATGCCTGTTTTTTCTGTTAAAATGAAAATAACTTAGGTAGAATACCCCAGTGTTATCTGATATTTGAAAGATTTTTTTCTTGGTATTTGGAATAGGCTTTTGCCAACCCGGAAGACTGTGCATCCTTTGGCAAAGGAGAAAATGCCAAGAAGTATGTTCGGGTAGATGACAGAGTAGAACGCGTACGAAGGTAAACTCACTATCTCCCGAAATCATTCACTTGGTCAAAGAATTTTGGTCAAAGGAATTCAGTGAGGATGTTGGGATACCGAGGAAGAATGAAGAAAAGTCAGTCCTCTTATCTAGTCCATATAATAATTACAGAAATTATTACAGGATCTGGAAGTCTTCAACTACCACGGCAGTTACAGCCGTTGCCAGTTTTGCTACACCGCCGTGCACTTGGTTGGGGTTAATGACTGTTCTGTGTAGGAGTGTTCCAGAACTACTGATAGGTGGGAGGGAAAGTGAGCATGGTAGGCTCTTGCAATTTTATCTTTCTCCAGAGGTGAAGCTGTCAACTTATGTAAAAGGATGAAGAACTAGGTATTTTTGCTTATGATTCAAAATATAAATGTGGGCCTGGCCGGGCGTGGCTCAGCGGTTGAGCATCGACCTAGGATCCGGGAGATTGTGGTTCGATTCCTGGTCAGGGCACATGCCCGGGTTGCGGGCTTGGTCTCCAGTAGGGGGCGTGCAGGAGGCAGCCGATCAATGACTAGCTCTCATCATTGATGTTTTTTTCTCTCTCTCTCACCCCTCTCCCTTCCTCTCTCAATAAATATGTCTATATTGATTTCAGAGAGAGGAAGAGAAAGGAAGGGAGAGGGAGAGAGATATCCCACATTTATATATATCTCCTTTGTAGATATTATGTTTAATGCACTGAGAATTCAATGAACAATGAAAAGCAATAAGCCTAGATATCATCTACACAGCTTCCTAGCAATACAATTAATATACTTATTTTAAAAGCACATGGAACTTTATTCTGGAGGTATATTTCTTAATTTTTGTTATAAAGTCTAGTAAATTAAAAAAAAAATTCAACTTTACTGAGGTATAATTGGCAAATACAACTGGAAGACATTTAACGTATACAACATTATGATCTCATATACATATCTAGTGAAAGTATTCCCCCCATCAGGTTAATTAACACATCTATCACCTCACATAGTTAACCCCTCCTTTTTTTGGTGAGAACATTTAAGCCCTACTCTTGGCAAATTTTAATTATATAGCACAGTGTTATCAGCTATAGACATGTAATACATTAGATCTTCAGACCTTATTCATCTTTTGACTGAAAGTTTATATCCTTTTAGAAAACTCCCCTAATTATCCCCCCCACCCCACCCCAACTCCTGGCAACCGCTTCTACCCTATTTCTATAAGTTTGACTTGTTTATTTTTTTTCTTTAGATTTCCCCATATAAGTGATACCATACAATATTTGTCTTTGTCTGGCTTATTTTACTTAGCATAATGCCCTCCAGTCTTATTCAAATTCTTGCAAATGGCAGGATTTTCTTTTTTTAATGCTGAATAATATTTCACTGTATCACATTTTCTTTATCCATTCATTCATTGCTGGACACTGGTTCTTTCCAGAACTTGGTTGTTATGAATAATGCTGCAATGAACAAGGGAATGAGAAAACACATTTCTTCAAGGCAATGCTTTCTTTTCCTTTGAATATATATGCAGAGTGGGATTGTTGGATTGTATGGTAGTTCTATTATTAATTTCTTTTTTAAAAATATTTTTAAAAATATATCTTTAATGATTTCAGAGAGAGAAAGGGAGAGGGAGAGGGAGAGATAGAAACATCAATGCTGAGAGGTCATTGATTGGCTGCCTCCTGCACGCCCCCTACTGGGGACCAAGCCCACGACCCAGGCATGTGCCCTGACCAGGAATTGAACCGTGATCTCCTGGATCATAGGTCGGTGCTCAACCACTGAGCCACGCCGGCCGGGCTACTAATTTCTTGAAGAACCTCTATACTGTTTTCCATAATGGCTATACCAGTTTTCATTCCCTAAAAAAGTGTACAAGGGCTCCCTTTTCTCCACTTGCTGGACAGCATTTGTTATTTCTAGTCTTTTTGATAACCATCCTAAAAGATGTGAGGTGGTAACTCATTATGGTTTTGATAGGCATTTCCCTGACAATTAGTGATGTTGGACACCTTTTCACGTACCTGTTGGCCAACTGTTTGTCTTCTTTGAAAAAAAAGTCTATTCGGGTTCTTTTCTCATTTTTAAATTAGTTTATTTTGTTTTTTTTGCTATTGAGTTGTATGGGTTCCTTGTGTATTTTGGATATTAACTGCTTATCAGATATATGGTTTACAAATACTTTCCCCCATTAAATAGGTTGCCTTTCCATTTTATTGATGGTTTCCTTTGCTGAGCAGAAGTTTTTTTAGTTTGTGGGTTTGTTTGCTTGCTTTAGTTGCCTTTGCTTTTGGTGCTAAATAAAAAAAAATCATTTCCAAGACTCATGGAAATTTGGACTCATAAACTTGGAGTTTTATGGTTTCAGATCTTATGTGCAAGCCTTTAATCCATTTTGAGTTTCATTCTTTTGCCTTTGAAAATCCAGTTTTTTCCAACACAGTTTATTAAATGGAAGCCCTGTTGTCTATGAGAGCCAGGTAATCCAGGGACCTGTCCCTTGTGCTGCAGGTACAAAAGCTGGGGCACAGATGTGTGCACAGCTCCCTCCAGGAAGATACCAGTAACTTGGAGGTCACTTGGAGTGGGTGAAGGGTGAAGGCAGGGGAGGTGTCTGCTGGCTTTCCTGCTGTAGAAAGGATTAAAGCCAGCCTTTAGGTGAGTGCTAGATTGGAAGCCTAACCCTCAGGTAGCAGCTTTTAAAGTATGCAACTGGATTCCTTTCAGGGAAATCATGGGAGATGAGTGTTTTTATCTCTTTGCTCTCTGCTGAGCCCCTGGTGGTAACTAGTTAAGAACTCCTTTGTTTGCTACAGTTGGTGGGACTTAGGAATGGAAACAGTATTGGCCTTCAGCTCCAGGCTCTCCTGGGACCCATCTGTCCTTCAGGTGGAAGTGAAAAAAGTTGGAGCACAGACATGTGTAAGTTCCTTCCAAGTAGATACGGGAGACTTGGAGCGGGCTACGGGGAGGTGGCAGGGATGCGTGCGCCAGCTTCCTAACCTCCAGGGAGGATTACAGCCGGCCTGTAGAGGCGTGCTGAGTTAGAAGCCTGGCCATCAGGCAGCAGCTTCCAGAGTATGCAGATGGGCCTTTTTCTGGAAAAGTGTGGGAGATTTTGCTGCCCCTTCAGTGAGCCTGGGGTGATAGCCTCAGCAAGTGCTTATGCGACCATTAACCATTGCTCCTTTGTGTAGGATAGTCTCCTGAGTCCTCATGGACTCAAGTTTCTGGCTTTCACAGCTACATCCTTTGGGGACCCATCACTCGATTGAGAATGGGAGTCTTAAAATTGGGGATGTAAATGTGAGGTCCAACCCTTTACTCCTGAGGAAGGAGCTGGAATTTGAGAGTTCCCTCCTAATTGTATGGCTCTGTGCCAGGGGTGAGGTTTATGGTGAGAGTGTATCTCAGCTTTTTCTACCTATTTCAATGTGGGTATTTTTTCATTCACTGGATGTGTAGGGGTTGTTCAACTGGTATCTGGATTTATTTTAGATGTAATTGCTCCATGAATAGCTGTACATTCAGTGCGCCCGTGGGCAGAGGGGAATTCAAAGCCTCCTATGCTGTGTCTTGGTTGACCCGCCTGCAGAATTTTTATATTGAGATTGCATTGCCCGTCCATGAGTTACCTTTTCTAACATGTGAAACAAAAGTTACATACCATTTTCTCATTTAGTATTTTCTAATGCTCATCTAAACTGGCACAATTCTAAGCATATTTCAAGGAATAAATAAAATTATATAAAATTAAAGAAACAAGAGTTTTTCTAGCCATACTTAAGTGAGCATATATTTAGGTTTATGAGGCAGAGTTAAGATGGGAAACATCATGAGTAAATCTGACTACTCTTCCTCAGTTTGTTGAGTATGAATAGAGAGCAAAGTGGAGACGGAGGGAAAAGAGTTTCATTTCTATATTTCAGGTATCAGCTGGAAATTCTTCTCCATTCTCCTTCCTGCCCCCTTCTTTCACCGCCCTCCCCCCCCATGGGATTGTACTTCTAAAGGAAACTTCCATTATCTAAGCTGATCTTCTAGTCCAGTTGTGAGCAACAAATAAATTTTAGTGAAATAATTGCCAATAGTTGTGAAATGAGACAGTGAGGAGGTGCAGCAGGTGTGCATAGCACCCCCTGGGGGTAAGACACTAGCTTTTCAATGCGGCGAGACAGGAGACAGGACAAGCCTGGGGTGAAGCTGCCTTTGCCGTTGGCCACACCCTGACTATTCTCGAAGACATGTAACACCCCGGCCCAGGACAGGTTGACACCGAGATTCAAGAGTTTCTGGTCTGAGACAGAGGCGTGATTGGAGCGTCATGAGCATAGAGCAGCGCTGGTGGGAAGGTCAGCCACATACTCCAAGGGATATGTGTCCAAAGGAGAGAGGAAAATGGGAACATGAATCGTAGTGTGGGGAGTAGACCCAGATAGAAAGTGGTCACACATAACAACTGATGTCCACGAGTAATAGATTCGACAGCCATCTAGAAATGACATGAAAAGGAAGGAAGCTGCCTCTCTAGGATGAGCTCTGTCGGAGCAGGGAAAGGGTTCCAGTGCAAGGGTGATACCGAGCTACCGCAGGGGCTCACTGGCGGAGCTGCGCAAGTGTATGCCTGGGGCAGGCTCTAAAAAGTAGTCATATGAAATAGAATAAATTAGCAAAGACTATGAGGGTCTGTTGAAAACAGGCTTTTACAGTACAATAAGGAATATTATCTGTGAGAATATTTTGTGGGCTGAGAACGGAAAGAAAATTGTAGAAAAGAAATAAGATTAAGAGAGGGAGGTCAAAAAAAATGAAGAGGCCAGTAAGGTCAAAGGGAGCCTTGCCCCTGACCTTCCTTCTCTCTGGTCCCAATAAGGCTTATTATCCCTTATTGTGCTTGGCTTTCTTCTCTAACACTGCTTTCTGTCTTCCAATCACTTGATACAGGCTTAGAAGTGAATTGATTTCCACAGGGTCTTCTTTTTGAAGGTTCCTCCCCAAATGTGAAATATCTGTCCTTTTAGAATGTTGTGAAGGAGAAAACTAACATGCCCACCCACGATTGGAGGTGAAGTTTTATCTGTGGTCCAGCAGAATCCAGAAGACCAAAGCAAATATCCCTGATGTCACTGGCGAAGCAGGCCCTTCTTTAGTAGAAAATAGTATTTCTGTCTTTTCTTGTCCACTTTATTTTCAGGAGCCCTTGGGTTGTTCCAGGAAAAAAGGGAACAGGAACACTCCTATCTTTCTATCTTTGCTTTTATTTAGGAACATGTAGTTCTTTATTTTAAACCTTTATAACTGTTACTTCTCTTGATTACTGTCACCTTCTTTATACCTTTATGTTATCATCATCATCTCTGTCAGGCAACCTTATAGATAATCTATGGAAAACAGGAGAAAGGAAAGGAGGGGAAAATCATTGAGTAGACAGTAGGTCACTATTCATTTTTTTTTTTGGCTAAAAGATAGGAGAGTAGCATAAAGCAGAAATATTTTTCATTTTGAATATGTGTCAATAGCTGGTAAACTCTATAAAATCTTAATTTCTACCCTGGATTCTAAAGTAATTTTTAACTCTGGAGACTTAAACAGGAACATCGGATTTTAAAATCGAGTGATTAAAAAATATATCGTCAGTAATAGATGTGTCTTATATTCACACTCCTAGCCAGAGAAACCCAAGGTGCTATGAGTTGGAGGAAAACTTGTGGTTAAACTGTACTTTTTTTTTCTTCTAGCTGTGGTATAAAGATAAAACTTAGGAAACATACCTTTCTCTCTGTTGTCTACCATTTTTACATATTCTTTCTACTTTGCCTCTTCACTTAGCTAATTCCTTTTATAATTTGAGGATACATTTGCTAAGATCTTACCATATTTGAAAGGCTAGTTATATATTCTGTTATTTGGATGTTGAGAGCATGAGATTCTTGATATTAAGCTGGTAAATTAATTCTTGGCAGCCCGTGGTTTGGGCGAATGAGCCAGGATTGTCTCAGTAGGACTAACAGAAGTGAGGGAGGAGTCTTTAGAAAGATCATAACCAGAAGGACTACCCTCTTTCGGGCGGAAGAGTTTTTATGAGAAGAATTTTGAATTGCTGTTTTATGAACCCTGGAAGAAAGAGTATTTCACATCTACAAAATGAAGTGAGTTTTACTATATAGATGCAATTTTAATGTTCTTAACAGTGCAAAATGCCTTCTCTGTTATATGTTGAGATACGCTAAAAATAAAAAGAAACAAAACTAATGAGACAATCTAAATAAAAACCAGGCAAGGAAGCAAGGCTATTTGAGAGAAATAAAATGAATATTTCTTTGCACTTTAAAAACCTATTAACACTTATAGTTAGTTGTAGAGGAGAGGAAAAGTGAATATATTTATGCTGATTATAAAATTAGTGTTTTACCAATCATCTTTTTTCACAGGGCCCACCTGAATGATCTTGAAAATATTGTGCCATTTCTTGGTATTGGCCTCCTGTATTCCTTAAGTGGTCCAGATCTCTCTACAGCTATCCTGCACTTCAGACTCTTTGTCGGAGCACGGATCTACCACACAATTGCATATTTGTTACCCCTTCCCCAGCCAAATCGTGCTTTAGCCTTTTTTGTTGGATTTGGAGTTACTTTTTCAATGGCTTACAGATTGCTGAAGACTAGACTGTACCTGTAAGGGGAGTCATACAACTCACCATCCAATTATTTTCTAAGATTCTGTACTTACAATTTTATAATGAATACTTTTTAAGATTTTAAGTGGGAGGGAGCAGAGAAATTAGGGTGGGGACAACCTATTTTGAATCTTAACATCACCAATATCCTTTACTCTTGTGTTTATATTTGTGCTAGAAATTTAATGTAATTCTTAAATGTTTTTTCTTCTCCTTAAAGTACGTTGTTGTAAATTTTGATTATAATTTGTAACATTTGTTCACCATTTCATATTTTAAATCTATAAAAAGGGTGAGTGTATGAGAAACTTATTTTAATGTTGCTGAAATAGGCATATGAAATAAAGAATTTAAAGAATAATTTTATTTGGTTTTACTTTTTCCAACTTGTATTTTCAGAAGTTTCAAACGTATGGGAAAGTGGAAAAGTAATACAATGAACCTTTACATGTCTTTCACCTAGATTTACTAATTGTTAACATTTTGCCATATTTGCTTTAGCTCTATCATTCAATGGTTTTTCTGAACAATCGGAAGGTAGGTTGCAGATATCAATATACTTCACCATGTGTTTCCTATGAATAAGACAGTCTGTACATAACCATAATACCATTATCACACCTGAGAAATTTAATATTAATACAATAACATTAATTCATTATATAATTCATATTTAAATTTCCCCAATTTTCTTAGTAATGTCCTTTATAACTGCTTTATTTTTGATCCAGGAATCAAACAGGAACCACACAAGCATTTGGTTATCATTTCTATTTAATTTTTGATAAAATGAAAGAGTTCTTTAACTTTTTTTTTCTTTGCATTTTATGGCCTTCACATTTTTTGAGGCGTATAGACTGGTTGTTTTACAAAATGACCCTTGATTATGGAGGATTCTGTACCAGTTTCTCTTCACTTCTTCTGTAATGTTAAAAGCAGTTTCTCATATCATGGGTGTTGGCTTCAAGAGAGCTTTGTGGTATAATTAATGGAAAAGACCATGAGCTGAGAAGTGACAAGTCCAAAATTCAAGAATTGGATATACCTGCTTAATACCTCCC